GACTTGCCACGGTCTCCAACCCTCCTCCTTTCTCATCCGGGCTTGGGACCGGCCATGGCGGAGTTATCTGGCAGGTCATTAAAATTGATTTACTGCGTCGATCTTCTCGCGCATTCAACCATTAATGAGAGCGTTCGTTCTAAACGGCATTCTCTGTGGCCGGTAGGTGGCGTCTAATCTGTTTGTCCATGAGCCGTTTCCTATAAACAGCTGTTTATTTAGGGCGATTACTGTGGGTAGAAAAAAATGGTCGAAAAGGATCAGAGGATGATCCTAAATGGAACCGAAAACATAAAGAAGATCACTGTTGAAATCTCTATCCCGTTATTAATAAACGTCATAAATATCAGTACGCTCTATCTTCACAGGACTGGATTTGATTTCACTACTTTATGACGTTGTCCAGTTGCTTCAATTGATGAAGGTTAACTTTTTAAGCAATCCATGCTTTTTACATTATTTTACTATCGAAATTTGTACTTTATACTAGGCTCGTTATTAGTTACGTTTGAGTAATCGGTACTCTTTATGTACTTAAATATGGTATTAAATATTTCGTTCGAGCGTTGGCCATACTAAAAACGGCATAAAACATGGTTTATTTTTACAGAACGGAAATTCTACGGTTAATCAAATCAAATTGACTAGTATTGACGTTTCAACCCATTTCTCATGGGCGTTTTTCAACCCACTTCTCATGGGCGTTGGTTCATAAGCCTTTAAGTCGTTCGCAGGGGTAGTTATGGTTGGCTTTCCGGTTCCACACGTTTTGACCGTTTTGAACAATAGAAGGAATTCCTAAGTCAGTCAGCTAACCTCCTGAACTTAAAATTATCCGTAAGACAGAGGCCAGAACTTTGGTACTGCTCAATCGTCCAAAGGACCAAATTGCTCGCTTTGTGTGTAAATAAGCCGTCTTCTATGCTGTTTTCAGTATTAAGTAAGTAAACTATTTACTAGTATTTTGGGCGCGAAAGAAGGTATGGAAAGTAGCAAGAGTTTCACCCATTCAAATGTACGAAAATTGCGGTTGTATTATCGTTCGTGTTTAGGCTTGCGTTCCTAACTTGATCATAGACGACCGCGTTTGGGAGGAACCGGTGGCGGTGAAGATTCCGTTGGCGGGGACGAACGAAAAGTCATTGAGAATGATCTGCAACGAGATGAGAATGCTGAAAATTGCCCAGCATCCGCACGTTGTACGACTGTTGGGTGCCGTCGTTAAAGGCCCATATCCTTGCCTGGTTTTGGAGCTGATGCGCTACGGTGACCTTACGCACTACCTGCGTCACTGTACCCCCGAAAACGCCAGCGAACAGCTAGACTTACCAAGCATCACCTACGACCGCGATTCACTCAGTCTCGCTGATCAGCTGAATATCGCTTTACAGATCGCGTCCGCCATGGAATACCTATCCAGCTTAGGAATGCTGCATCGCGACCTGGCTTGCAGGAACTGTGTCGTTGGAGACGAGTTGCAGGTAATAACT